AAACTCCCACGCCTGCCACATCATCGTACGGCCAGGCGGGGCGTTTGAACCGCCTGCTGTTTACTGCTTTGAAGTGAAGGGCACGGAGAATAAAGGACCAGAGAATTAGACTTTATTTCACAATTAACTTGTCATTTCAACTCAACTTCTTTTTTCCACAAAAACCCAAAGAAGGAAAAGGAAGTTACTGCAACAGAAATTGTTCTTGGTTTAATGTCAATATTTTGACTCCTTCTTTAGCAAGAATTTACGGCAAACTTTAATTCATTTTCCAAACTACTCACAGCGTAGTTACTCTGTGTGAAACCTGGTCCTGTTTAGTTGAACACAGCACTGATGTACCTGCAGAAATTGAATAAAGACACACATCAAGATCTTTACCAACGCGCTCCCCCTTTTTTTCTGTTTTTATAGCAATCTGCCGCCACCTATTGGAATCATATACAACTGTTCTGATGAACAAAGACAAATGATTTGCTGTAAAATAAAGTAACGGTTTTCAGGCGAATTTCGTAAAATCTCCAGCACAGTTATCGTAAAGTGGGAAGTCTGGAGGACAAGAACTCTGCGCGGATCATTTCGGGTGTGAGTTGGATCCCAGGGACTTCAACATCAAAGTCGACCGTTGGTGTCACATCTTTAGCAGTGAGAGGAGAAGGTGCTGTGAGAGGAAGGACGTCTGCGTCGTAGTCGACGTTCCGCGGCACGACTCTGTTCTCCGGAGCCTCGGAGAGAGACTTCAAGAAGAACGAGTCGAAGTTCTTCCACGACATGATGCCTTTGATCACTTCATGGCGATCCAGCAAGTTATGTTGCCCAACTTGTGTCCTTTTGTCCGTTGTCTTATTGTCGGAGACGGAGTAACTGGACCGGGGACACACGTGGACCTCGACGTCACCTTCCATATATCTGGGTCTGGGTTTGTGCGCCTGCAGGCCGGGAGCCGGGTTGAAGACCCTGAGAGGGTTGACGGGACCTGGTGTGAGCAGAGCTGCTGGGGCGGTGAAGCTGAGGGTCGTGGACCACAACGTTTCCACTGCTTCGTCCACAGCTTCAGGCTGAGGTTTCTCCTCCGCTCTGGGTTCCTCCTGATCTTCAGAACCCTCCAAAGATCCAGTTCTGAGGGGTCTGGTTAACGGGGTGGGAGCACAGGAGTCCAACGCCTTCAGGATGGAGACGGGTTGGTAGCCCATGAGATCCGAGTGCTGGGCGACTTGGAGCTTGAAGAAGGGAACGGACGTCTCCACGGACATGTCCACGGGGTCCACGGACATGTCCACAGGGTCCACGGACAGAGCGAGGACATCACTGTGGGACAGAAGATCGCTTTTGCTGCAGAAAAGTGGGAACTGAAACGGATGAACTTTGTCGGGCGAGATCGCGTCCCTCTGCGTCTCCGTCTCCGTCTTTACTTTCTTCACCACTGCCAGGTTCTTCTGCAGCTTCTTCAACGCAGCCAACCTGCGGCGTACACGACACTGCATCACAACCTTACGCGCCGCCTGCTGGAAGAGTCTGAGGAGTCGAAGTCTCAACTCCAAGTTAAAGGAGGAGTGGAGGTGGAAGAAGGGCGCCCCCTCTGAGGTTGGTCCGGGTTCATACAACAGTCGACGGGAGTGAAGTTTGGACTTCCCGCCGTCGGAGTCTCCCTCCCGTTGAACCGCGCCCCATTTGATCCCGTTTAAGGAAAACCCGCTGCTTCAAAATCTGCCTCCTGGTTTCCACCGTCACAGGGTCCTGACCTCGGTGGACCTGGATCTTCAAAGACCTCGTCTGCTCCTCCACATTTCTGTGAATGCGTCTCACGAAGGACTCCTCCTTCAGCCTCTTGGTTTCCTTCAGGACCAGGGAGTGGAGTTTGTCGTCGCGCTGGAACAATATTTTGGCGACCCCGGCGTGGGTGGTGACATCTGGTGCCACCTCTGCTCGCCGCTGACTTCTCAGCAGCTGTGGTTTCCCAGCATCCATAGCTAGCCTGCAGAGGTTAGTCTTCAAGCCCATGTGTCAATGGTCTGGGGAAGATTCACGGCTGAAGTCAAATCAACATTTTATCAACTGTTTTCTCATTGGAGCCTTTTTTCCTTTTTTTCCTATCATTAGTTTGAAGAATTCCATTAAGTTGCTTCATCAAAGGAAACGGAATCTTCTTCTTTTTTTTTCGGCTTTGTCCCTTTTTCAGGAGTTGCTACAGCAAATCATTGATCTCCATCTCTCCCTGTTCTCTGTATCTTCTACTCTGACTCCAACTACCTGCATGTCTTCCCTCACTGCATCCATACATCTCCTCTTTGGCCTTCAAATTGGTCAGTTTAAGAAAAATGTGGGTTAAAAATGTTTTTTGAAATTTTTTGAAAAAAAATTATTTTTTGAAAAAAACATTTTTGAAATTTTTTTTTGAAATTTTTTTTTTAAACATTTGAAAAAAATTTAAAAAAAAATTAATTTTTTAATTTTTTTTGAAAGTTTTTTTGAAATTTTTTTTAAAATTTTTTTTCAACTTTTTTCAGGAGTTGCCACAGCAAATGATTGATTTCCATCTGTCCCTGTTCTCTGCATCTTCTACTCTGACTCCAACTATCTGCATGTCCTCCCTCACTGCATCCATATATCTCCTCTTTGACCTTCCTCTCTTTCTCCTACCTGGTAGCTCCATCTCTAACATTCTTCTACCAATGACTGTCCCTCCTCTGCACATGTCCAAACCATCTCAATCTGGCTTCTCTGTCTTTGTCTCCTAACCTTCCTGTCTGTGTTGTCCCTCTAATGACCTCATTCCTAATCCTGTCCATTCTTGTCACTCCTAAAGAGAATCTTAGCATCTTTAACTCTGTCACCTCCAGCTCCGCCTCCTGTCTTCTGCCTATTGCTACTGTCTCTAAACCATACATCATGGCTGGTCTCACCACCGTCCTGTAAACCTTTCCCTTCA